CACACTAAAGGTAAAATGAAACAGGTGAAATTGATTTTTAAATACCGTTTAACCCAATATGTCCAAAACATTACTGTTTCAACACTATCAATATAAGAAGTTATTGAGATATTTTAGTTAAATTTTTATTTCAATTTTTTTTTTTTTTTGGTAGAAACGAGGTTTTCGCCACCTTGCCCAAGCTGGTCATGGGTATTTTCCTTTTTAAAACTGTCTTAGAGGACCGGCACAGTGACTCATGCCTGTAATCAGCACTTTGGGAGGCCGAGGCAGGCGGATCACCTGAGGTCAGGAGTTCGAGACCAGCCTGGGCAACATGGTGAAAACCTGTTTCTATTTAAAAATTCAAAAATTAGCTGGGCGTGGTGGTGCGCGCCTGTAATCCTAGTTACTCTGGAAGCTGAGGCTGGAGAATCGCTTGAATCCAGGAGGTGTAGGTTTCAGTGAGCCGAGATCATGGCACTGCACTCCAGCCTGGGTGACAGAGCGAGACTCCGTCAAAAAAAAGCCCCCCCAAAACTGTCTTAGAAATACTGTATTTTACACTTAACAGCACATCTCAGTTAACACTAGCCTCGCTGCTTGTGCTCAGTAGTACATGTGGCTAGCAGCTACCTTAATGGACAGTGCAGGCCTAAGTCATCAGAAGGGTCCTTGGGTACTTCCCCACCCTTGCCTTTTCTCCTTGCACTCCCCATTCCTTGTTTATTGAGCGTCTTCTATGTCTTGAGGCTGTGGAGATAAAGCTGCTTGGCTTTCCTCCTTCCTGGAGCCTCTGAGATAACAGAAGTTATTGTCCCCAAGGACTGGAGCTTCTATTTGCGCCACTAGCCTAGTGCTGTATTAGAGGCTTTGGGCACTTAATTCTGAGAGCACCCTTGAAAGCAGCCATTTCCTGTGCCTTACAGTTGGAGAAACTGAGTCTTGGAGAAGTTAGGTAACTTGCCCAGAATTCCCCATATCTTTGAGCCAGGAGGTAAACTCAGGCTCTTCTGGCTTTTTTGGAGGTACTCAGTTACATCCTGCTTCCAGGCTTTTAGGAAAAGAAACAAGGTAACAGTCCTTATAACCAACTTAGGTTTTCTTGTAAATTCTTGGAGTTCTTGTGTTTCTAATGCAGGTATAACTGCATGACAGAGCTGAGAAGATAGTTGAGGTTACTAAGCAACTCTAACAAAAGAGGATTTTTGCTGAGGGCATTCCATTTAAGTCCCAAACTTTACCTTTCATTGTGAGAACTGGTTTTGAAGTGTCAAGGGGAAGCAGTTAGAAGCAAAATCCAGCAGTCAATAAGCTCCGCCTGACTTCACCATAGTTGGGCCAGCAAGATAGTAGAGAGGACTGATTCACTTGGCCTCTTCTTGAAACATGTTACTTAGAGACACACTAGGATTCTTTTTTTTTTTTTTTTTTTCCAGGGGCAAGGTCTCACTCTTTGACCCAGGCTAGAGTACAATGGCTAGAGTGCAGTGGCAGGAACACTTCACTGCAGCCTCAATTTCCTGGGCTCCAACGATCCTCCTGCCTCAGCCTCTTCAGTAGCTGGGACTACAGGCATGTGCCACCATGCTTGGCTAACTTTTTTAGAGATGGGGGTTTGCCCAGACTGGTCTCGAACCCCTGCACTCAAGTGATCCTCCTGCCTCAGCCTCCCAAAGTGCTAGGATTACAGGCATGAGCCACAGCGCCTGGCCTCAGTATTCTTTTTGTTTTATTTTTGAGGTGGGTCTCAGTATGTTACCCAGGCTGGAGTGCAGTGGCTGTTTGCAGGTCTGATTATTGGCACACCACAGCCTTGATCTCATGGGCTGGAGTGATCCTCCTGCATCAGTCTCCCAAGCAGCTGGGATTACAGGCACACACTGTCTCACCCTGCTTGAGATGCACCAGTATTTTTTTTCTTGAGACGGAGTCTCACTCTGTTGCGCAGGCTGGAGTGCAGTGGTGTGGTCTTGGCTCACTGCAATCTCTGCCTCCTGCGTTCATGTGATTCTCATGCCTCAGCCTCCCGAGTAGCTGGGATTACAGGTGCGCGCCACTGCGCCTGTCTAATTTTTGTATTTTTAGTAGGCCAGCCTGGTCTCAAACTCCTGACCTCAGGTGATCTGCCTGCCTCGGCCTCCCAAAGTGCTGAGATTACAGGTGCGAGCCACCGCGCCCGGCCAAGATGCACCAGTATTCTTAAATTTACTCTCCAATGATCCAAGCATCTGTCAACCATGTATCTCAGGTGTCTTCTACATGCCATACTTTGATGGAGAAAACAGGCGTTTACAGTCCATCTGGTTCTTCTAGACGATTCCTCCATACATTTGACAGCTGTCTGGGCCCTTACGAAGTGGAAAGATGGATGCTCAGCAAACAAAAACAAATGAAGCCAGGTGCAGTAGCTTGTGCCTGTAGTCCCAGCAACTCTAGAGGCTGAGGTGAGAGGAATGCTTGAACCCAGGAGTTCAAGACCAGTCTGGACAACATAGTAAGACCCTGTATCAAAAACAAACAAACAGAAAACACAGTTGCTTGACATACGCTCTGGAGGACATACTGGCTACATAATAAGGGGTAATCTGCTTTAGATCAGGTAACAGGGAAGGCACATTAATCATTCTATTAGAATGTACACTGGGTAATATACTTTAAAGCACTCCTGTAGAAGTTGATGTGAGGCTTTTCAGATGGTAATTCAGTTTTCTTGGTAAAGCTTTTGCAGAAGTCACAGTAATAAGCCCTGTATCGAGATCTTAAATGCATCTAACTTAAATGCATCTAACAAAATTTTTTTTTTTTTTTGAGATGGAGTCTTGTTCTGTTGCCGGGGCTGGAGTGCAGTGGCGCGATCTCGGCTCACTGCAAGCTCCACTCCCCGGGTTCACACCGTTCTCCTGCCTCAGCCTCCCGAGTAGCTGGGACTACAGGTTCCTGCCACCACGTCCGGCTAATTTTTTCTATTTTTTAGTAGAGACGAGGTTTCACCATGTTAAGTCAGGATGGTCTCTCGATCTCCTTACCTTGTGATCTGCCCGCCTTGGCTCCCAAAATGCTGGGATTACAGGCGTGAGCCACTGTGCCTGGCGCATCTAACATAATTTAAGAATAAATGAAGGCCGGGCGCGGTGGCTCAAGCCTGTAATCCCAGCACTTTGGGAGGCCGAGACGGGCGGATCATGAGGTCAGGAGATCGAGACCATCCTGGCTAACACGGTGAAACCCCGTCTCTACTAAAAAAATACAAAAAAAAAACTAGCCGGGCGAAGTGGCGGGTGCCTGTAGTCCCAGCTACTCGGGAGGCTGAGGCAGGAGAATGGCGTGAACCTGAGAGGAGGAGCTTGCAGTGAGCTGAGATCCGGCCACTGCACTCCAGCCTGGGTGACAGAGCAAGACTCCATCTCAAAAAAAAAAAAAAAAAAAAAAAGAATAAATGAAATAGGGCTGGGCATGGTGGCTCATACCCATAATCCCAGCACTTTGGGAGGCCAAGTGAGCTGAGCTCACACCACTATACTCCAGCCTGGGTGACAGAGCAAGACTCTATCTCAAAAAAAAAAAAAAAAAAAAAGAATAAATGAAATAGAAAACAGATGAGGTTTTAAGTCCAAAGACACTTTTTAAATGTTTGTTTGTTTGTTTGTTTGTTTTGAGACACAGTGTCACTCTTGTGCCCAGGCTGATAAGGAGCTGGAAGACCAAGTTTCTGTTTCTGATTTGACCCTCTCCCTCTTTCCCCCTAACCATTCAAGGCATCAACCTGAGTTCTAGATTACTGTATAATCACTATAGTAATATCTGTTCCTGTCTTACCTGTTTTCGGTGGTTATCACATCAGTCTATGCAAGGACAGTTTAAAGATCACCATTCAAATAAAGCTGTATTTTCATGGAAGTTTTAAAAACATCAAATTTGTGTCTGTTTTATAGGTTGTGGGGTGATCATGGGCAAGAGGCTTTAGAATCTGCTCATGTTTGCCTAATAAATGCAACGGCCACAGGAACTGAAATTCTTAAAAACTTGGTACTACCAGGTAATGCAGTTTTGTGGTTGTGTTCTAAATATACTTCTTTAAGATTATGACCTAGAACTATATATTCCTGACTGACTCTGTTTTGGCTGTCAGGTATTGGTTCGTTTACAATTATTGATGGAAATCAGGTCAGCGGAGAAGATGCTGGAAACAAGTATGTTCTATTCTTTTCAAATATATACATGTTAAGGAGGGCAAGGCCTGAATCTTAGCTTCACCTCTTCAGTCAGGGTGACTCAACTTTCAGTGGAAATCATCCTTATGTTTGGGATTATGGTGAGGAGGAAGTGAGATAATATATGTAAAGTGCTAGTATAGCATCTGGCAAATAGGGCATTAATAAATGGTACCCATCATTACTGTCTTTATTGTTATTAATATAAAGGAGTAGTCATTATTCCTTTATTCATGGAATATGGGCACTTCCTAAGCTCTTGCATTGATTCATAGGTGTTAGCATATGATTAACAATAATACCTGTTGTTTGTGATGTCTTCTAGGCTTAGTCTAGGTGTGTCTCTCTTTACACTGTGTCTACAAAAATGCTGTTTTAAAGACGGCCTGTATATTCTTTAAAGATTATATTTAGACTTTCAGAGCATGCCCAAATTTGGATTTAAAGCTCACCTTTTCAGGGACTTGAAGTCTGGTATCTCTCATTGTATTTGTCAGTAACAACAACAGTGAGTAAATATAAGGAAAACCAGCAATTAGTTCATATTTAGTTTTGATGCCTTTTCTTTGGATGGTAGTGCCAGTTTCTGCTAGGCACAGCACAGCTTTTTTATTGATATATACAAAGAAGTCTTGTTATCTTTGCTTACTTGGTTGGTTAGAGTAGAATATGATAAAAATAAGGTTTCTCCTTATGGAGCCAGTGAGCTTATACCAAAAAGTGGCATCCTGACTCTGATCAGCAGCCTCATATCTGGGCCTTGAGACACATCAAGGGTATGTGTGGGAGGAAGTCTGAACAAGTCTGTTACAGTTACGTGCAAAAACAAATGGTTCAATACACCGAGAGTGGTCTATGGAACACTGGTTCTAGGGAACGTTAAGAGCTGTTCAATGGGCCAGTGGGTTCCACGGTCAAATTAGTTTGGGAAATGGATCAAATGAAGTTAAAATTTCTTTACCATAAGATTTTAGTATCACATGTATTGTGTGTATTATGAATTTCCAAGAAGGAAATATAGTATATGGTGTTTCCCAAACTTTTTTTTTTTTTTTTGGAGACGGAGCCTTGCTCTGTCACTCAGGCTGGAGTGCAGTGGCGAGATCTTGGCTCACTGCAAACTCCCCATAACGGATTCACACCATTCTCCTACCTCAGCCTCCTGAGTAGCTGGGACTACAGGCACCCGCCACCACGCCCAGCTAATGTTTTCTATTTTTAATAGAGACGGGGTTTCACCGTGTTAGCCAGGATGGTCTCGATCTCCTGACTTCATGATCTGCCCGCCTCGGCCTCCCAAAGTGCTGGGATTACAGGCATGAGCTACCGCACCCGCCAGTGTTTCCCAAACGTTTTTTAGCCAAGGAACCCTTTTCTCTCAGAGGATCTTGTGAAATTCACATTCTGTGGTACACACTTTGGGAAAGAAACATTAATTTATTAGCCTATCTTTCTTTATAAGTTTCATCTGATTTTCTTCCTCCAGGAAGGCTATTATAATCTGTAATCACAATATAGTTTGTTTTATACTATGAATGAAATATACATGCTATTACAATAACAACTTTTCCTTTATAGTCAGTAAACTTTACTTTTTTTTCCTTTGTTTTGTTCACTTTAGTTTCTTCCTTCAAAGAAGCAGTATCGGCAAGGTAAACAATTTGTTAGAGAATATAGTTGCATATGAGCATCTAACGATGCCACTATGTTTTGATTGCTTGAAAAGCTTTGACTTTAAAAATGTGTATTATTTCTCTGAAAAAAAAGTTAACTAATTTTTCTCATCTTGTAAATCTTCATATGTTTGGTAGTTTAAAAACTTAGAAGTACTGTCTGTGTTTATACGTTGTATCCTGTATTAAAGCTAAATCTTGAGTAATGTTAATATTCAGAGGATGGATTCTGGTTAACAAATTTTTTTTTTTTTTTT